CAAGGGAATTTCTGGATTCAAGTATTGGGAGAAATTTTCCTCCGTGGAGGACTTTTTGATGGAACTAACCAGCATTTGCGGTACATAGAGTGAAAAATCACGAAAACATCCTAAGGTTAGCCTGGCGGTAAAGGGACTCTAACCCATGATCCGTCTACTACTGAGGCTATTTTTGCGTCAGCACTGTGGTCGGTCCGAGCAAGTTGCGGAATTCGTAGCGACAGCCAGAGCACTGGCATTCGAACCAGGTTCACCTCTTATGAAGGAGAACGCATGAGTCACCTGAGCCACCACGGTTTTTCAAAGAGGGAATTTTATTTTATAACCGTCATTGAACAGCCGACCCAATTTTCGGGTTTACGTCTACTAATGTTCAACTCCGTAGCCATGTAATTTTGAACAAAATCCAGAAGACAAGGGAACTTCTGGATCAAGTATTAGGAAAAATTAGCCTTCGTGGAGGACTTATTGGTGGAACTAAACCGCATTTGCGTTACATGGTGAGAAAGACCACGAGAACCTCCCACGGTTAGCTTAACGGCAAGGGGACTCTAACCCATGATCCGTCTACCACTGACAATATTTCAAGTCAGCACTGTGGTCGGTGTAAGCCGGATGCAGAATTCGTATCGATCAGTCATAGCTGGGATTCGAACCCGGTTCACCTCATTGGAAAGCGAACGCTCTACCCCTGAGCCACCGCAGCTCTGAAAGAATAAATTGAAGAAAATAAATATATTTAATAATTAGGACAATAAAGGATAAATGAATACAAATGAGGGACATGGTGTAAGCCGCCAAACTTATCGCCAAATTGATATTTTTATATCTAACTGTTCCTTAGTATTGTTTCCAGATAAGCACTTTATAAATTTAATTTAAACTCGATCACAGCACTATGTACATAAACTTTTTATTGTCTTAAAGAAAATCTTGCTTTTATTTATTTATTTTTAATCAAAACGCTCTCTTGACTATTTTAAAAATGTAGATACTACTTTTATGTCATTAAGTTGCCTCTTGATATGAGCTTTGAATAGAAAATACTTATACGCATTTCTGACTAATCAAAAGTTATTTTTGAAATTAAAAATACAGGGTTATTCATAATTCCCTTCGGGGTTTCGAAGGGTTATAGTAAAAAAGCGAAGACGAATATGGCAAAAAAAAAAAAAACATATTTAATTATTCCGAAAGTATTCAAGTTTTAATTTAAGCAGTTGTCGGTAGATGGCAGTAACATGTACCACTGAAGCCAGTTGCAGTAAAGAAAAATGGCGATTACAGGCGGAGGGAATTATGAATAACCCTGTAATAATTTTAATTTTGAATGATTTTATAGGACTTTTGTCAAGTGTTTTCAGACGTATTTAAAACTGTATCTGTGTGTAAAAGCGCCTGGAGAGAACTTATTCTCAACTACATCCTGAATTTTGTTTACCCATGTTCGTTTTGGTAAGCTTATATGTTTAGTGCCCTTACATACCAGGGGTCTGTCTAGGTTTCTTTGAGAGATACCAATTTTGTGAAAATTTAGACACAATTGGTGAAATTAAAAATTATATTAAAAACTCAACTCAAAAATATGGTAAAAATAAGGATTATCTTTTTTTGTACAAAATGTTTTGTACATTTTGTACAAAAATTTTGATACAAAAATAAAATTTTAAGAATTTTCCTAAAGTTGTATTTGTGAAGGTACCGATAAACGGTAGTAAATTTGGCCTGGACAGACCCCTGCACGTTCAATCTTTATACCAAATTGAATTATTTTATTTCTCATAAATTAGAGCTACCTTTCCTAGTTGCCTGAGAAAATCGGCATGAAATCCGATACACAACTAATAAACTTAAAAACTTTAATTTTTACTTATACATGAATGTAATGCATTACAAACAATAAAAATATTTTTTTTAAATCATAAGCACATTAAAAACGTCTATCTCAAAGTAGAGAAAGATAACAAAGTTAAAAATATAAACAGAAATTTTTTGTAAACAAAACAGGTGAAGAAAAAACAATGTATTAATAGATAATGGTTTTCATTTAAACACGCTATAGATACTTCCTGCCAGATGGTACAAAGGGTCAGACGTGACTAAAATACAACATAAAGAAGCGGAAAAAGATTAATAAACGTTACGTATTATTAAATGAGAATCGAAAGAAGGAGGAAAGTACTTTATAACCTTATATACATTAATTCAATTTAGTTTGGCATTAGAGCAGTAGTGTTTAATAGTCTTAAATAATATACATGTTCGACAACAATTTCGTTTTTAAATCAAAAACTTAATTAAAATTACGCAGTTCACGAACTTCATATTTAACGACAATCTTTTGTAAATCCATTTCCATTACTAGAGAGTTTTATATCCTTCAAGAAATTTACATTTTTTGCGGTAGAGCTTCGCACCTGTGCCGCGGGTTCGGGGTTCTACCCTAGGACTGGGCAATGTTGACTCAACCTTTTATCCCTTCTGTGAGACTATAAAATGTGTATTTAACTTGCTAGGGGAAACATTGGGGGTTCCGCGTTTGGCTGCCCACCCAACCGGAATATATGCTCCCGCACTCCAGAGCCCAAGATCATGAAAACTGGGATGGGCACAGTAGGCCGTGGCTCTCCATGTACTGTCGAGCCACTGAGTTAAGTGTTAACTTTAAAAGCTTTATATTTAAATTCATTCGTAAAAATGTATCCATGTTTTTTTTTAATAAACGATTTTAGTATAAAAAACCTGAAATAGTAGTTAAAATAAGGAAAAAATAGTAGTCAAAATAAGGAAAAAATTTTGAAAATAGAACTAAACTAATTAAAATGTTTTCTGTAAATAACTTTTACTTGATGGGAGTATTTTTTTCGATTGAAACAAGAACCGGAAAGTCAAGCTTGTTATTAAAAAAAAAAAATTCTGATGTTCACATCGACATTAAGTTATTTTCAATATTTTAATTTCGTTTGAAACAGAACCGGAAAATCTTTAATATGTTGTGCAGAACGGAAACAAACAATGCAGAACTTCAATATTTGATTCAGTTCCACACAAAGGCTACTAACATTCAAAAGATAATATTTCCCGTCTTATTTTTATCAATTTTCCCTGCAACTCCTCATGACGTAAATAATTAATTTTCAGCTAATCATTATTCTTTGAAATAAAAAATATTACAAAACAAATATAATTGGAGTTGAAAATAAAATTTTTTTTTAAATAAACTACTACTACAAAATAGATATGTATGGAGAAAAAAATTTGGACCTTTAGGTACGTAAAACCCAAATTAATGCATATTCTGATTTTTGAGGAATTTAAATTCCCAGACATTTATAGATGGATACTATTTCCTGATCACTCACCCTGTTCTGTGATCACCAAAGTTGAAAATTGTTCAGCGGTTTTCAAGAACTTCTGAAACCAATATTTTATTTTAAAATTTTAGGTTTCTGAAAGGTTTCAAGATAGTGTCTGGTAATCGCGTTAAGTAATAAATTAAGTATGCAATATTTAACTAATCAATTGAAGCAATCGCGTAAAACAATATTGAGCACATTAACGTGGTATACTTGGAAAATCTCAAGTTATTTAAACAGGATGAGTAGCCAAATCTTTCAACAATTAATTAGCACCTTTTATGTACTTTTTAAGCACTTAAAAAATATTTTTAAGCACTATACACATTAACAAAATGCAAAATAGTTTTCAAAGACTTTACAAGATCACGATAAAATAACTAGTTTCTGACAAAGTACTTTTTTTTTATTATATTAGCCATTATAAAATGATTTGAGAGAATTTTTGGTTTGATATCAGAGAGGGTAAAGGAAGCTTGAAATTGAAAATATCTTGCAAAATGAAGCAGAGTTGCACATGAGAGTGCAAGAATCTCATCGAACCCAGCTCAGTAGAGTAGACGCACATGCGGACTCGCAAGTATTTCATCAAGCATGCGAAATGAATGGCGCTTTCATACGCTATGGGTCGATGATACGCCGAAATGGACTGTGGTTGAATGAATTGTAAAAACGTTGAATAGAACAATCATACGCTATGAATCGATGATACGCCGAAATGGACTGTGGTTGAATGAATTGTAAAAACGTTGAATAGAACAATCATACGCTATGGATTGGTGATACGCCGAAATAGACTGTGGTTGAATGAATTGTAAAAACGTTGAATAGAACAATCATACGCTATGGATTGATGATACGCCGAAATGGACTCTGGTTGAATGAATTGTAAGAACGTTGAATAGAACAACGTGAAAAGCACGCTTTTGCATAATACGTTGCGAAAATCGACGAGGTAAAAAAAAGTCTCATTTTCGGAAAGGGAAAATCAAGTACTTTTTAAAACCACCCAATGAAAAAAGCACCTTTATGGGTTTTTAAAAACGAAAATTAAAAATAAGCACCTTTAAACACTTTTTAAAAACGCTATGCATCATGTTGAATATTTGTTATTTCTGTTTGGGAATTAGAATATAACTCTCAGGTACAACGAATTTAACTATTTAAATCGATATTCTCTATCACATGTAAGTTCATTAAGGGTCATCAAATCTTTTCTAATGCAGTTTTTTCTTCCCAGTATTACGCATTTCTTTTTCATATTCTATGAACTTCATGGAATCGAACAGCGTTTTAATCCACGTGTTAACAATATAAAATACAAATTCCATTCAAAAAGAGAAAACACACATGTTATTGCACGAGGCAATATTTCGAGCACAAAACGATCTATTTTAATGGGTAATTCATTTTATGGGTGATCATCCAAGCATTTTGTAACCCAATCATGCGAATAGAAGGATTCTGATTTCGCGATTTATCGCCAGATTTCAAAAAACAACAGAGCTGTCGATACGCCAGAACAGTTAAATGAATGATCGCAATATTCCAGATGCTACTCGGACCGTTTTAATTTCTTTTTTAGATTTTGTAGTTGAAAAAAAAATCCCCCTTTTTTTTGTTTTGAAAAACTGATATTGTTACCTGCTCAGGTGTGACGGGATATTTGACGTCATCTCTGGAATCACTTTGGCACCCGCATAGCACTATTGGAGCTTCACTATGCCTTCTAATTTCAGGATACCACTATAGAATAAAAATTATTTTTTAAAAATTACACAATACACATTTAAAAAACACCCTTAACACATTTTATAGCTTAGATTCAAATTCATGTTTGATTCCTAGAATAGATATTTTTTCTATAAGTTGAGCTCATTTAGAAATGATAAACGCCATGAAAATCAAATCTTTCAATACTTGGGTGATTGTTAGTCCAACTCAAAAAATCCTGAAAATTTCTTGAGTAAAATCATTAATGACGCATTTCAAAAAATTAATATATTCATAAATTTAAATGACTGTGATATTTTCAAAACATGAAAAAATAAATAAATTAAATGCAGCATAATTTAAATGAATAAATATTTGTATGTTTACTTTTATCTTTAGTCACTTTTATTATTCTACCAGAAAAAATATTAACGAATGAAAGAAATGTCAAGTATAAATTCTAGTTCCAATATTTTTAAATAAAATATACAAGAATTTTAATACATAAATGTGACGATGATTTCTTGAAATTTCTCAACCTTGGATTTCCGATAACTTCCGGAACACGGTTTGCGAAAGATCCGGAAATCCGGATTTTTTCCGGAGCACAATCATTTCTGAATACCTTAAACAAAAATCTTATTGCGCTGGCATCTAAGTTCACACAATTTTTTTTTTAAAAAATGTATCATTCCGCGTGTCATTAAATGCTTTCGTCGTAATATTTTAGATCATTCGAAAGAAATATTTTGCTAAAATCGCAATCTATTTATTTTTTTGGTTCTAGTTTATTTACGTTAATTTTTAAATCATTAAATCGGAATGCCAAGTAAAGAAAAATGAGCAGTTTCGACATCTTTTTGCTTTGAATTAGGGCTCTAAAGTTACAAAAGCTGCTCGTTGCACTTGTGTTGTGTAGGGAGAGGGTATCATAGCTGAAAGAGTCACTCGAGAATGGTATAACATGTTTGGAAATGGAAATTTTGGCCTTGAAGATACACCTAGTTCTGGCCGTCCAGTTGAGATCGATGAAGAGCAATAAAAAAATAGCGGAAACTTAGTTGTTAACCAAATCTAAAATTAAACCGCATTTTATGAACAAAATAAAATATTTAATCAAAACAATGATGCCCAAACCTTATATTCCACAACTAAATCTTAATGCTGCAATAAAAAGTCTGGAAATGACATCCGGGATTACTCCGGGAAAATCGGATTTTTTTTTTTAAATGTAGTTTTAAAACGAAGAAACGTCAAAAACATATTCAAAATAACAGTTTTGTAAAGGGGCCATTTTTGGAATGAAAAAAATAGCGAAGAATCCGTTATTAAGAGGACGGTATACTGCAGGAGAAACTTCTTATAGCAAATTCTGTTCCAACCCCAATTGATATTTTGAAACTTAAAATTTAGAAAAAAGTGAGCTCAGATAAACCAAGAGTAAATCATGAAGTTTCAAATGCGCTCTAAAAATGTTTCAAAACATGAAAATGCAAATTATTCCCCATCGCGTAATTCAGCAATAATTTGTTTGCATTTTAACATTTGACACTTCATGGTTTACATTAACTCAATTTTTCTATATTTTAAATTACTTATGTGTGAGCCGGTCAGGTGGCCGAGCGGTTAGCGCGCCTGACTGCGAAGCCAATGGCTGCGGATTCGAATCCCGCTCTGGGCATGGATGTTTCTCTCTCTTGTGTTGTCCTCTGTTGTGTGTGATGTGTGAATGTGGCTCACCCTATGAGCGGGTTTGTGGCAGTGTGGCGTGGGTTATGTTGCTCGCCTCCGTGACTTTGGTTCACAGGTGCCCACTGGGTAACGTAAAATGAGTAACAATTCCGGCATCTTCTTAGGCGAAGAATAAAGTTCAGTGCCTGCCATTTGGGAGGAAAAAATAATAATAATAAATACTTATGTGGGTGAAAAAGAGTACAGCGTCTTCTTACGTAAATTATATTTTTTGTTGGGCTCGCGTTTTCAATATTTTGCAAAAGACAAGTTTTTTAAGATAAAATATTTTGCGAAGGGTCTGTTTTAGCCATAAAATATTTTTTGAAAGATCCTTTAATCGACTCAAAATACTCCTAAAATTAATCCTGGAGATGAAGTTTAAAAATGTCTTCATTACACTCTCAGAAATATAACTCTCACTTTTGACAAGTCAACAATCGTTGAGCAGTATTTCGTTAATTTTAAGAATTATTTCGTCATTAAATCACGTGATTTGGGACGCAACACGAACTCTCAAGTATATGACAAAAACGTTTCCTCAACTCGAAACCTCATCGTAATGCATTGTGGGAAATCGTTAACTGTTGTAAATGACGAAACTAGATTGAAAACTAGACTATCGAAAATAAAGCGACGAATTGAGCTGACTGGTCTGTACTTTGGTTAAGGAGTCGGCCTCATACGAAGAAGATCTCAGGTTCAAATCCTGCTTCGGGCATAGGTGTGATTTTAATCTGTTCTATCTGTCCTTCCTTGTATTGATCCACCTATACTGCAGTGCAATTGAAAAATTTCAAAAAATGAGAGAATTGGAATCTATCGTGCTTCTCGATAAGACAATGTAGTTTATCATACAGAGATACCAAATATATACAAATCTCAATTTTGAATTTTATGTCGCTTATTTTTTTTTCTTTTGCACGGCAGTATAAGGTGACCACGATAAATTGATTATTAGAAATGTTATATACATTAGGCATTAGGATATTTTTTTCTTATATTTTGGGGAAAAAAAGAGAACGACGAAATATTTCTTTAAAGAAGAAATTTTTGCTCGAGCATATACCACCAGAAAACAGTTACGTCAAAAAGCGAAAAAAGTTTCGTGATAATTTGAGCATCCATTTTTTTCAGAAAATGGTACGCTTACCACTTTGCCCGTACTAGTTAGACCCCTAAAATGTTAGAGCGGATAACCTAAGTAATTAAGTAATCTCTGACTCAAACTTTAATAGGAATTTCATCAAAAACATGGTTAGGGTGTTTTCATATTGAATAGTTTATAAGTATATTTAATAAGTATAGTATATAGTTATAAGTATATAGTTTATAAGTATATTCATATTGAATAGTTTCTATTGCTAAGTACAGAGGTCTGTCCAGATGTTTTGTGAAAGGTCCGTTTTTGTAAAATTGTGAAAATAAAATAAACGTTATTAATTTGGGAATATAAAATAAACGTTAAGTCACATTCTTTCAACCAGGGTCCGCTTTTGTGAATTTGCGCAAATAGGGTCCTTTATTGCAAAAACACTTTTTCAAGGAGTTTTTAAATTGTAAAGACATACAAGATTATGCTCAACACTTTAAAATTATAATTAAAGAAATTAAATTTTAAAAAATAAACAGTAATTGCAGCTACTAAATTAGCAATGCAACATACAAATATTTGGTATTTAGCCTATACTGCAGAATATTCATTTCGGGCGAATAAAGGGAGAAGCGTCTGTCAAAGACAAAATTTAGTTCGTTTACATCAGTCTTTCTCCCCCTTCCTGGGAAGCGACAATGAATTCGATTAACAAAACAATAATGAAGATAAACAAATTTGTGAAGGGTCCGATTAAAAGATAAATTATTTTGTGAAGGGTCCGTTTTTATGAAAAAATATTTTGTGAAGGGTCTGTTAACGGACCCAAATTTCTTTTAAACAGACCCCTGAAGTACTTATATTACATAGTCCGAAACTAATTATTCAAGTAAACTTTCTTTTCTCTCTCCGAAATTAGAATGGAACACAATGTTTCAATATTTTATATTTGCTCAGTTGGAAAGATAATTGAGCAGCTTTATCGTTTAATTTCGCAATACCAGACTTGTTTTGCAGGTTCATCTGAGCTGAAAACAAATCGCGAGGTTCTTTTCAGAAATAGTATTACATAACACATTCGTAAAAACAAACTATTATATCTGTATGAAAATATTTGCTTCAGTTTGTTTATCGGAACTTTTGAAAGAATATTACAAATCGTTTATGGTGCATTTCAGAGTATAAAAATCGAACAATTACAACCATTGCTTGCGTTGTGTTTAAGTACAAATGCTGAAAATTTACACTTCATTCCACTTTTTTATTTATTTTTTCAATAAAGGGATACTAAATTTGCCACAACAAAGAAAACTTGTTATTGTTTTTAAAATAATTCCTTTATACTTCTTAAAAATATGTTTTATTAGTTCTTTTTAAAATAATGACAGAAATAAAAAATTTGGCAGAAAGTCAAAGGTTTCAAGATATTGTAAAGCAATTGTCATATTATCAAATATAGAAAAAAATTATTTACAAGCAACTAGCAGCTTTATTAGGTAATAAAGATATTTCATTAAGTTACCTGCAAGAAATTCCTACTTATAAAAGTATTTATGATATTACTATTTTACTAAATGATTATAAATTGAAAAAATTAACACAGATTTAGTGATATAATCTAGTGTTAAGAATTTCTTTTAACAAGTGTTAAAGCATTATAATTTTTCATGTAGGCCTTTTTTTTTATTACAATCAAGTGGGATTTTAGAAAATTGATTAATTTCCACGTTTTATATTGAATTGCACACAATTTTTACACAAAAATTTCAGATTTCTAGAAAATAAAACAAAACTCGAATGCGTAGTCAAAAATATTTTTTTTTCTTTAAAACCATTTTTATTCTTGTTCACTTAAGTTGTCGCAAAACATAGCGACAGGTCGACTGGTCGCAACCAAAATCAAGATAGTCCAGAAAGTCCCTTAAAACAACAATTATAAAATGAAAACGGCTAATTTTAACATATTTGTTAGAAAAAATTTAAGAGACAGAATTAATTAGAAATAACTTTCAGCAATAAGAACAGTTTAGAAGTGAAAAGTTAATCACGGAATTTAATCGTCCCCACTTTTTGTTTATTAATAAAACACTACGACGCCCTGCAACAAATAGTCATAAAAACAAGCTTTACGCTTGCATATATCACTATAAAAGATAAAAGAAAAAGACATTTATGTAACGTAAAGCATAAGATCTATTAATGAGAAAAACAAACTAAGACTTTTTTTTTCTTATAATATTTAACAGCTTTATATTTATTATGAAGGTCATTATGTTGGTATCTCCAGCCATGCAGAAAATGATCAACTTATTTTGGAAGGATTCATGTGGCGACAATGGGCAACAGATAATCATCTGTCAAGTATTTTAATGGTCAGTCTTTGCAGTGTAAATTTACATTTGTTTTACTTCCGCCATTACAGCTGATTATTCCTCATTCCAATACCCCTGGTGCCATTTTTAATCCACTTTTTTTATTATTGTCGTTTGCAGCCGTTCTTGAAGTGAAGTGAATTAAGAAAAACAGTTTGATTGTTTTTCGTCATTTACATAACCCAACAGTCCAGAGAATTTGATTGATCATTTCGATATTAATGTGAAAAACAGATGTGTCAAACATGCGGCCTTCAAGTAAACGATGCCAGATAAAAAAACGTTTTTCTTTTTTACATTTATTTAGCACTTACATAACATTTTAGTTATCTATTTTATTATTCCACGGTATTATAAAAATCAAACATAAAATTAAAAAGAAATTTTTACTTGTTACGACAGCACATACGCTTTTAGATAAAAGCTAAATCATAAATATAGGAATATCTATGAAATTAAAGAAAATAGAATAATTTTTTTAAAAAACCATTAATACATGTCTACATTTTTCGATAAAATTGTTTTTCTTATTAGAAGTGCAAACAACTGGAAAAAACAAACAAACAGATGTCCTGCCTTAAATGAATTCGAATTTTTTTTTAATAATTTGAATAGCGATTTCAAATTAATAAGCCCTCTTATATTTTAGTGGTCCGAAAGCCAGCATTAAATTAGTATATTTATTCACTGTTTTAGAACATTCTTATTTAAGCCAAAAAATATTTAAAGAACAAAAAAGTAAATTAAGTAATTAGTATTGCCAAACAAGCTTTGAAAAATAATTAAAATTCTACTAAAAGTAAAAACAGGAAGTTGAGTTTAGGAGAAAGTTTAAAAATCTATAACTCGTCCATTATGAAGAAGAAAACAAGTAGGTCAGTGAATACAACATATACTTATGCTCCTGTCAAATTGTTTTTATACGAGGAATTCTAAGAATTCTTCAAATAAGAATTCCTTTTGTTTGAAAGTATTGTTTTACCGAATTTTGACGAGGTAGTCTTTTTCTTTATTGCTTAGTTTTTTAGAATACATTTAGAGTTTAGCATGAAATTTTATTGCCACCATTTATGAATTATTAATCTTTTTAGGAAAGGAATCGTTTGCATTTTAACGATTTAAAATAAATAAAAACTTATCTTAAATTTAAATAAAGTAAAACAATAGAGAACTTAACAATGAAATCGATTTTTTATTTATTCATAACTAAAAGAAAAATATTAAAATGGTCGAAAGAATTTATTTGATAACGTTTAATAAAATTATATTTCTAAAATTTTAAACATTCATAATTATGTTACCGCTAAAGCTCGAAAGAAAATGTTCACATTACCAAGCTAATATGCAGATTCTGCTAAGATAAAATGCTGAATCAATTTTATGGAAAACACATTCATCTGTATTACTAGATTAAAAACTTGATTCGCTTCAAAAATTTATAAATTGGAAATAACAGTCGACAAGTTTCAAGAGCTCTGGTGCCTGTTTTTTAACGATATAAACATGTCGACTGTTTTTCCAATTTATATATTTTTGAATCGAAAGAAATTTTTAATCAATATCTTACCACTTCAGTTTCTTGGGATTATTTATTTAACATTCATCTGCATTGTTATTATTAGTATCAGTTAATAAGTTTTCTTCACTGTTTCTGCTATAATTTACATGAAAACAAATAATAGCTTACCTTTTTTAAAGCATTATGAAATGAAACTTGTGAAGATATGTCGAAACAAAGTAGAAATGCCCGGGCATCTTTATAACACAAAGGTCTAACAGTATCATAGGCACTAGCACCTGGAATAGAACGAAAAAATTTAGTAAGTGACAAAAGGAAAATACTACATATTTATGTAATTCAAATTCGAAACAAGTAGGATAGTTTTAATATTTCAATCATTTGGAAACTAAATGTATTTATCTTCGAAACAAGATTTTAAAATGCACAATGCGCAAAATAAAAATACGAGCAACTTACTTTTATCTAAATAATTTTTTAATTAATGATTGGATATTTATGTACTAATATTATGTATGCAACTATGTATGTATATTATGTCTGAAACTTTTTATCTAATGATTGGATATTTATGCAATAAGATGCAATCCAAATGATTTGAGGGACTAATCTTTTTTTTTTTTTTTTNTTTTTTTTTTTTTTTTTTTTTTTTTTTTTTTTTTTTTTTTTTGTTGACAAAATTAGAATTTTGATTTTGATATTCGCAATCTGGAAAGTTCAGTCGAAATATTTTTGGCAGGAGGGCGGTTAAAAGTTTAGGCCCTTTAATATAAACTTTTTACATATTTCATCATATTTCTGAAACTCTTTAAAACGATCAAATGATTTTGTCACATAATTAAAAACTCGTTTATACAAAGATGTAAAAAATTAATATATAAAAAAAATCAATGTATAATATAATAATTAATGCAATTATTTATTATTAATTCATTTTAATAATGGTCAAGAAATTTTTTTAAATTAAAATGTATGCAAATTTTTACATCTTGTTAAATTATGTAATTTTAAATGACAAAATCCAAAATTTGAACAGAAAAGGCCAAATACATAGTTCTTGAGAAATGAACAATTAAAAGATACAACTTTTCTTTTTCATACAATTATTAAACATGAATTACAATTATTATACAATACATACAATTATTTTAACATTCAAGAAACTTATCTGAGGGTCACGAATTAAGTCCGTAGAAAAATACATTGTTTAAATAAAAAAAAATAAAAAAAAAAAAATAAAGCGTTTTGTGTACGATTTTGTAACATAAAATATTATCGACACAAATGTTTTAGCATAATTAAGATTCGTCAATGAATCATTTAGATTGTATTTTTATAAGTGAAAATCCCATAATTGCATCAAAAGTTATTAAGAAGCTCCTTTCCCCCCCCCCATCCTTTTTTTAAGGAGCTAATTTCTCATATTCAAATTATAAAAGATTAAAAATCCAATCCTTTTTCTTCTTCCTTTGTCTGATTAAATTGTTAAATCTTTATCCATTTTAAATTCTATGCAATTATTTTATTAATAACGAATTAAAAAAAAATAATTAAAAAAAAAAATAAATAAATAAAATTAAAAAAAAAAAAAAAATTGTATATATTTCTTTTTACGGACCATCACGAAAAAATTGGATTATTTTTTTCATTGTATTTAATTTCCAAAGTAGATTTGAACAAACAAAGATAATTGAAAGATTAACTCATGTTATACATTAATGACTATGACTTAATATAAATTAAGTGCTATTAAACTAAAATAATAACATGATTGCCATTTCCGCAAAGGAAACTCTGAACTACTCTTGGGAAAATCGTTTGATATTAAATCGTGCATCACTAATGCTCAATTACATTTTACCGCTCTAAATTTAGTTGATTACTTCACGTTATAAGTTTAAATAATCATTAAAGATAATTCCAGTGTTAAATAACACTAATCATTAGTTTTTTTTTTCTGTATTTACAATAAAAAGAAAAAAAATGTAGAAAGCGATTGACTTCACAAATGAGGGGATTTTTAAGCTCTAGTTCCGAACAGGTTAATTACGGATTTTAGCAGTTTAATAACCTTTAAATCACTTTCGCATGAGAGATAAAAAAAATAATACATTTAAAAAAAAAGACTGACACTGGATTTAAACTCTCTTGCTAGAGAAAATTCCTAACAAATTAATTATTCTTAGTTGACAGAGCTAATGTGATGCCAGTACACATACATTACTTAGGTTAAGTACAAAGTGTAAAGCCAGCGTGTGTTATTACATCAATTTTCTTCTAATTGATGATAGAAATAATTGTTTAAATTGAAAGTATTGAAATGATTATGGTCGTAATACATCATTGAAAACTCGCTTGTTTACAACGATTAAATTTCGAGGGTGAAAAAATTAAATTTGTTACTTAATTTCATACGAGGACGATTTGCATGATGTGGCTGATAAGGAGATAGGAGAGTAAGTATTATCAAAAACATGGTTGCGAGTGATTAGAAAGTTCACATACCCTCGGATTCGTATGAATATTTATTTAATAAATTACAGAGATGTGATCGTAAGGAGTTTTAGATCTTACATTCAAAACTACTGTATCATATTATTTTATTCAATCGATGCTGCAGCTTTTAACTCTATCTGAGTGGATAGATTGGATTATTTGAATCGCCTTTTAGGGGAAAAAGCTTTGTTGAGTCAGCCAAACTAGGGGGGGGGGATTGCGGTGTTACGTACGTAACAAGTATTAATTAAACCAAACAATGCTGTAAACTAAAAGGCAAAAATAAAAGGAACAGTTGATTGCTTAAGATTAATGGTTCATAAAATGGAAGCAGCTAAGAGAATCTAGTTTTTTTTCTTTTTTTGAAATATTGCAATCAAAACTAAAATTTTTCAGCAAAAAGGAAAAAGTCTAGCACGATTTAGGGAAAAACGAGTTTCCGAGTAATTTAAGGCACAAATGTAATAAACTAGAAGTCTGGGACAGAGTCCTCTTGGTTTCAAAGGAAAAAATGTTTTAAAGGTATATTTTATGAGTGCAATTAGGCTCTTGTTGTATTTTAAATTTTTTTTCTTTTACTTATTATTTCCCATACGTAAACAAAGGTACAATATTTTAAGATTACAGTCAAGCTTTCATAAAAAATATAAAAACAGCGTTTTATATAATAATGAAAAGAAAGAAAAAAAAAACTTTTTTTATTGAAATATTTTTTTCTTAATTTACTACGTAACTTAAATTCAGTAAATTTTAAAGTAAAAAAAAACATTTCTTATAAACGAAAAGATTTAGAAAACTGTAAGCCTGAAATTAAAAATTGTAAAACACAAGCAATAGTATTACTAATTCCGAATATTCTCTTTCCCTTTAGAAGGGTTAGGGGAATAAAAAAAGTGAAAGAGCAAAAAATTCCAAGGCGAAGAATATCAATAAAAAGAAAATTACTAGCGCCCCCCTGACATGCCTCAGTGAACATGACAATGACACATTGTTTAACGGGGCATAAATAAAGATTAACCCAATTTTATTTGTTGGCTGTGGAAATTTACCATCTCCCTATTTTTCAAGGCATTCTTTTAGCTTTATATTTTTAAACCGACAAGTTTTCGGATTATTCCAAAGAATTTCTACAGTGGATTTTTTTTCCATTCCTATCCACCACCAAATAACGCCAGCAAGGCAATAATAATAGTAATAATACATGAGGGAACATGTCGAATACGGCATCTTCCCCCTATCACATTCTTCGAATTCCGTACATCCTTGTTGTCGTCTGCAAAGCTTCTTTCCGCCTGTAAATAAATAGTCTGGAGAATATCGTCAGGAAAACGAAGCAGACAGGGGGTATCAACTTACACTTGTGGAAGGGGCTAAAGGGAACATTTTGCCCTCAACAATGTTGATGGAATATTTCCTTTAAGTATTTGCAACCATGTAAAAACAAATTTTTTTTTTTGAAAAAATTTACACTAGTTTTAAGTTAAATTCTGAAAATATCTAAATGAAATAGTTTGGCAAGAAATTGGACGATACATAAAAGAGTTAGAATGCAGTTAACAAGTTTGAAAGTTAAGATGGTTTAATATTTGCGCACCCATATAACTCATCCTATATAATATATATGATCTCATAACCGCATATGTGATACATATTTGCCAAATATTTAATATAGTGAAGTGTATCGCATATAAATTCATCTTTTAAAAATTCTGAATAGTTCTGTTTGAAACAAACAAAAGATTCCTAACTTTTAAATTGTTTTTCGTAAAATAAAATTTTATATAGAGGGTTTGTTATCATATCTGCGTTTAATCTAACTTAACCAGATTCAGGGATGATTGAGTGCCGAAATCAAAAATTCTGAAAATTTCTTGAGTAAAATCATTAATGACGCATTTCAAAAAATTAATGTCTTCGTGAATTTCAATCCTTGATATTTTCAAAACATGAAATTCTAAATAAATTATATGCAGCATAATTTAAATGAATAATTGTGTATAAGGCTATTTTTATCTCTAATCCCATTTATTATTCTACTTGAAAAAAATATTTACAAATGAAAGAGATGCCACGTATAAATTCAAGTTCATAAAAAAAAAATATTTAAAAAATATGAATTTGAATTTTCTTCTTCAAATTGAATTCATATACGTTAAAATTCTTATTTCCGCCATATTTGTAGTATTAAAAAAATTATTTCGTATTTGTTTTTTAAAGCAATATCAAGCTGTTTTATATCTTTGTGAGATAGGAACACACTTGATATGAGCTAATCTCCAATAATTTTATAAAAATTACGCTATTTGATTAAAATATACATCTTAAACTTTGTTTTACAATTTATCTACTGCACAGTAATTGTGTATATAAAATAGGACTATCATTCTTATTTTTTTTTAATATCAAAATTTTATTTAGCTATTTTAAAGTTTAAAATGTTTATAGAAAATTATTTAAAAAAAAAACTTTCAGTTTTCAAGCACGTTGAAACATTTAGCTTAAAAATAAGAAGCAGTTCAACTAAATATAAAGCACCAAGCGTAATTATAATATCTTTTCATAATAAATTAATATCGCTACTTTAAAGATAAATCATTAAAAAAAAAGAACTGATTTCTATAAAAAGCGAGCTTACTAAATAATTTTAATAAGTCGCTGCGAATCATATGCCGTCAAAATTCCTATAAACAATAATGAAAAACTTCACAAAGCTGTTCCTCATCAATAATAAAGGATAACAAATACGAATAAATGGAATAACAGTAATGCAATGAACACTAAATATATTTTCTTAACTTACCCGATGTGTCCCATAGCGTAAGTTGAACATTATAATCACCTACTAAATGTTCTACCGAAACTCTTTCGAAATCTGTAGGAGTATATATCTGAAAGAAAATAAAATAAATGATCTCATAACCCCACAATAAATATTTCAAGATAAATAAACAAAATATTAAATGAAATTAAAAATAATAAATCTCCATTTGTAATAAGGATAACCGTCACATATTAGTTCTAACTAAAACATGGTTTTTCGAAGCTCATAAAAAAAGGCAAGGTTTTAGGGCCATGTGCTTGAAGCAAAGCTATAATTTTAAGAATCTTAAGAATAATCTTGGCTTTAGAGGAGACAAATAATTCAAATGCTCTTACTATTACTCTTGAACACAGTTGAAAAGTGTGATGACGTCAAAATAAGGTGCACACGCAATCAAACCCAAAACAACACCCTTTTTGCCAATGGGTAATAAAGCTTTGAAACCTACTAAGGCTACAAACAATAGGGCTACTAAGAAAGTTACTAACGTCTTTAACTAACCGTTAAAAGATTTAAAAAAATAAATATATAAAAAGCTGTTTTATAATCGGTTTTAAATTTTTTTTGCCGGGAGACATAGAATTCTGAAGACAAGTTTTTAGTAGATTTAGTTTTCTTATAAACTAGCAGCCGGCGAGTTTAATTGTAAAAACTACATTAATTTAATTGTACAACTGACATAAATACAACCATATACTTTTCGCCAAGTAGTCAAGGTAAAAGATTATCTTGACTACTCTTTTTTTTCTTTTTAAATATTTTTAGTATTTCTAGTTTTCATTGCTTCTACTTTTTTATTTAAAAAATAAAGACTTTGGGTTTTAAAAGAAACGTTACCAAGACAATCTAGAAACGCCTAAAAAGATTTTTGATTGATGAATGTTACATTAACACATTTATTGAATTTTTGATAACTATTTTTTAATGAAAATTGCAAAAAAAAAAAAAATAAATAAATAAATAAATAAATGCAATCTGTTTTAAAAATTTAGTAAAAAAAGACAATTAAAGAGATTTATTTTTAATAGAAATTAATAAGAAAATTTAATGAAAAATATTTAGTTTATTGAAGAAATTAATCATCTTTGATTAATCATTTTGGTAAAAGTATGACCAAAGCTATGAAAAAATTTATTAACTAGAAAATTATACCTATCAAAAAATATTTCTAACTGCATAAATTGCCATTTTTATAATTTGAGTGTATTTTCAAGCTTAAAAAATGTCGTTGTTAGGTGGAGATTTTATTTAGGGTGGTTGGGCCAGCGGCATGATAAACAAAACTCAACATATTTCGTTCTGATATGGAATAGAGCTTGTAGGAACATCATATGTCACATGACTATTCATATTACTTTTATGAGAGTTGCGAATGGCAACAGATCAAAAAATAATAATAAAAAATGAGTGTTCTAAAAAATGTCTGCTGATCATTTTTTATCCTGTAACTCTGTTGCGTACAACTGGTGACCCGGATTTTTGACATGGCTACAAAAAACAGTGAAAAGATCGAAGCAACGATCGTCATGGACGCCGAAGCTAATAAAGTAAGCATTAAAATTCCACCTTTTTGGAGAGAGAAACCCGACATTTGGTTTTACCAAGTAGAAGCACAGTTTCAAATAAATAAGATCACAACTGAAGAAACCAAATTTAATTATTTGATATCCCAACTGGAACCGAAGTATGTAGAAAATATTTGGGACATTATTAAAGACACTAAGCCTAACAAATATACCTTGGCGAAAGAAAGACTTTTAAATACGTTTAAGGAAAGCGAAAACAAGAGAATTCAGCGCTTAGTTACAGGATTAGAACTTGGAGATTACAAGCCAAGCCAACTTTTGCAAAAAATGAAAAATTTAGGAGCAGACGATTTTTCAGAAAAAGTGTTAAAATCTTTATGGCTTGATAAAATGCCGAATTTTATACGAAATATTCTGCTTGTCAGTGAAGAAAGTTTAGATAAACTGTCTACGATGGCGGATAAAATTCACGAAATGAAAACTGGGGAAGAAATATGTACTGTTTCACCAAATGTTACCTACAATGATGCTTTAATTGCACGAATAGCAGCATTAGAACAGAAAATTGATTCACTGCAAATAAATGACCGTAGTAGATCTAAATTTAGAAATAATTACCGAAATACATCTCGAAGTCGCAGTCATTCAATAAAAGCATTCAATAGGAAAGGTAAATATTGTTACTATCATTTTAAATTTGGTAATCGTTGCCGACCTGAGAAATGTTATTCACCATGTGCTTGGCGAGAAAAGTCGGAAAACTCCATGATGCAACAGGATTAGCGGCTACAACTGTTGCTGATGTTAATGAAAGCCGCCAGTTCCGATTATTTGTAAAGGATAAAAAGTCAGGTTTACGATTTTTAATTGATTCAGGAGCTGATGTTAGTCTCATACCTGCAACTCTCACTCGAAATAAAACAATAGAAGATTTTAAACTATATGCAGCAAATGGATCCGAGATTACAACCTATGGAATCAAAATATTAACTGTTGATTTAGGACTTCGCCGCTCATTTAATTTCCCATTTATTATCGCCAAAATTAATAAAGGAATAATAGGGGCCGATTTCCTTAATAAGTTTAATTTATTAATTGACATTAAAGAAAAAAGATTAATTGATGGAGTAACCAATTTAATAGTTAAAGGAGAAATTTCTCCAATATGCATGACGGAAAGAATTTCCACTATGGATAAAAATTCTAAGTTTTCTGAATTATTCTCTTCATATCCAAATTTAACTAAGCCAAACTTATTAATTAGTGATGCTAAACATGAAATTCGACATTTTATCGCCACAACGGGAAAACCTGTGTTTTCTAAGGCACGACAATTAGATCCAAAAAAATTGAAAATAGCCAAAGAAGAATTTCAATTCATGCTAGACAACGGGATTATTAGACCTTCAAAATCGCCCTGGGCAAGTCCCTTACATATGGTTAAAAAGAAGGATGGGTCTTACAGACCATGTGGAGATTATAGAAGACTAAACGACCAAACAATACCAGACCGATATCCAATACCAAGAATCGAAGATTTCCATCATATTTTAAAAGACACCAAAGTATTTTCTAAATTCGATTTATTTAAAGCTTATTATCAACTTCCTATAAATGAAGAGGACAAACAAAAAACCGCAATAATTACCCCTTTCGGACTCTTTGAATTCAACGTTATGAGTTTCGGCCTCAGAAATGCACCTTCAACGTTTCAACGCTTCATAAATGAAGTTCTGTGTGGACTTGATTTCGTTTTTCCTTATCTAGACGATATATTAGTGGCATCTCGAAACAAAGAAGAGCATCAATCTCATTTAAAACAACTTTTTGATAAATTAGATAAATATGGCCTCAGAATCAATATCTCCAAGTCAGTCATTGCTGTGGAGAAATTGGAGTTTTTGGGATATGAAATCAGTTCGGAAGGATCCAAGCCCCTTTCCCAAAAAGTAGAAGCAATCCATAATTACAAGTTGCCAGAAACCATACGTGAACTGAGAACCTTTCTTAGTCTAATCTTGAAATCCCCACAAGCTTGATAAGCCTGGCTTAGAGCAATATCATCCCCTTACTTCATTCGCTGAATATAATTGGAAGATGGGCAATCTAATCAATAGATTCTAACTCATACGATTAGAGCATTTAATTAAAAGCGAGATACGGAACGAATTCCGATTCATTTAAAACATTGACGTCATAGCGATACCTTTAGTTAATAACCGTGCAGACGATAATGTTTTACTGCACTGAATCATTTTTTAATTGTCTTTAATTCAAAAAGAGTTTTTTTTATTTAGATCTAGAGAAAGAACTAGCTTATGAAAGAGAAAAACGAGTTCTGTGAGTAATAAACCATTAATTTTCTAAAGCAAGAGCAAATGGAAGCGAAACAAAACATAGAAAGGCTACCAATTAAAAACCAGTTTTTTTAACTTTATTTTTTCACTCTTACACAGATGAGGCTTCATATTGAATTTCCAATTAGAACTTTCTCTTTTCTTAAGTAGCAACGCATCGCTGAAATCGAACAAAAGATCTTTTTTTGAAAAGGACGAGAATAAAAAGTGATGGAATATATTTTGATGTCAAATTTCCAACAATTCCAGGGAAAAAAGTTTCTCACGCTTTGAGTATTTTAAAGCAAAACGTAAATGTTGGGATGTTTTATGTGTTTTGTTAGAATAAAGAGAATAGGGAAAAAATTTAATTATTTTATTACATGATCAGTACACGTTGAATTCTGAAAACTCAGTTGTTTGGAATGATTCACAAAGCATGCTAATTCTTTGAAGCATTTAACTTTGCTGAATGTTGCTGCTCAAATATTACGTAAACATGTTTCGGGTGATGATTATGCATCAACCTTCTCATTTGTCAGCAAAAGTACGCTATTAGCAAACATCTTCTCTTACCCTATCTTTAAAGATGTATAACATAGAACTTTTTTTTTTTTAAAGAAAAAAAGTTGCAACTGTGGTCACATATTTATCCAATTTTTTTAAAATTCCAATTTTTTTAAAATTAAGTTCACGTTCTTAAAACGATCCCGAAGTTTCTTTTGATGAAGAAGGACAAAAATGCAAATTTTAATTTTTTTATGGATACAAATATAAACAAATTTAGTTTCCAAGTTCGAAATTGTAATTTTAAATTGCAAAATAAGGGTAAAAAAAGCATATTTATATAAACTTACAATACATAAAATCAAAATCTTAATCTTACTCGAAATTTACATAAAGACCTAATTTGAAGTTTATGTTAAAATTGAAAATGTGCTTACTAGTTAATGAAATTTAAGTTTTTCTTGCAGATCCCGGAACAACTTAAATGACACATTTCATATAAATTTTATTGACGATTATTTCTCAATCTGAAATTTAGATATTCGAATTTGAAAAATCAAAATTTGTTTAATATTAGTACCTAAAAACATATATTTAAATTCTTTTGCACGAAAAAAAAAAGTTTAAATCTAATGAGCCAGCTTTAGGCTAGTATGAAAATATATTATTCATTATTCAATTAGCTTGATTTATTTAAA